CTCTGTGGACTTCAGCAAATGCCACGGCAGACAGGATATGGTCTAGCTCACAGCTAGGACTCACAGCTGCAATGCATGTGCCTGGCTGCCCAATACCTTGTTTTGGGGAGTTCACTCACAGCACAAATATAACATGAAGGAAAGTGAAAGATGTGGTGGAGTTCCCACCTGTCATGTCTCAAGACTGAAGTCCTCCATCAAGCATATGCAGCCTGAAGGAGGAATGTGATATTTATATACGCTACTGAGAAAGAATCTCATCCCTAAATTCACTCAGAACACATTCACCAATGCAACACTTGGTGCTCACTTGGGATTTCAGCCTGCTTATTCTAAGCCTGTTCATTGAATAGTAAGGGATATCTCAGCTGAGGTCTCCACAATAGCACACATCACTCAGTTCAGACTATTCAGACTCTAATATTCCCCAGCATTTTCTAGAAATGTCACTCTTCACATCTCAGCTGCTGCTTCTGGGAAGTGCACCTTCTCAGAGCATTGGATTGTATGGGAGAATGTTTCTGTAGTTGAAAAACTAGGAAGTTGAAATGAAAATGAGATTCAGTGGACAATAAAGTAAAATATTTTCAACAACATCTTTTGCTGAACTGCAAACTGTAGCATGATTTGCCTTTGCTTCCTTCTTCACCCCTGCAGGCTTGTGCTGCCTTGCCTGTGTGCTGGGCCCTAAGGCAGAGCCTCCAGGGTTATTCAGGTGGCAAACCAAGGAACAGCCTGGGCTGACACACCACACTCCAGCAAACTGCTGACTAACTTTGCTGGCTCTCTTATCCCTAGAATGCTTCTTTAACTCAGTCTGGCCCTGAAATTTAATCTCAACAGTTTTTCAGGGGTCTTCACAGAACTGAACGACAAAGGATCAGTTTTGGTTTCATTACAGTATAAACACTGAGGAGCACTGATAAAGTTCAAAGGAATATAGCAGAAAATACTTCACAGTAATAGCCCAATATTATGAATTTTAGGGAATGACAGTAACGAGAAAAAGCATTTGAAGTAAACCACTGTTTGCTGAGAGGGTTTATCACATGTGCCTGTTTCTAAGAAAGTGCTATATATTCCTATTACGTTTTATCAAGATTGATTTAAGATTATATGAGAAGATAATTTAAATTTGTGACAGGGCAAGTCAACACATCAGATGCAGAGACACACAGGGTTGTTCGGGGTGTGTTAATTCTCGAAACATAGAGAACATTTCAAAGCAAAACAGCACTGGGGTCAAAGCAGTGGAAGCCCTGTCTGTAAAGTGTTATCCCTGTGCTAGTAAGCCTCTCTTCAGACCAAGTTTTCTAGTTTAGGTGAAGTGCTATTCAAGTGTGCTTTGAATTGCACTCTGGAGACTTCCAGAGTTTAGACTGTAGGTAACTCTTGAATCTCCTCAGCAGAGGGAACAATAAAGTGTCCAGCATTTCTCCTTGGAAAACAGGCTGTACACTTAAGGGATTTTATAAGATTTTAGTAATATATAAATTCCTATAGCTAAAGAAAAGTTTCATGTATTACCAAGGGTAAGTAATTTGGGTCACAGTCTTCTATTGCTAACTATATTTTGAAAAGATCAAATTACATTAGTGATGGCTTCACTACCACAACATGTTAGTGGTGAAGCCAGCACAGACATAATCTGTGAGGATAGCAAAAGAAACTTAATTGTGCCTACGTGAGAAAAGAAAAAATCACAGTGAGAATTAACTGTCTTTTACATCCATAAGCTGCACACAAAAGCACGAGACTTTACTCTGGCTGAAGAACTTGTTTTTTAAAAGATATTTATTTGGCTTCCTACTCATGAATGTGTTCATTTAAGAAAATTAAGTCCATTTTAGGTACATTAGACCTTATTTTACAAATCTGTAGATTGTAAGATGTAACATCTACATTAAATCCAGGCAATTACTAGTAAAGTCTTAGTCTTTCATGACAATGTTCAGTTCCCAGAACAATATATTGTCACAAATCACAGACACTACCTACCTCTAAGCAAAAGACAATTACACTCCTTATGTTAAAAGCCTTTTGGAAAAAAGGCCATTTGCTTTAGCACTATGCTGAAAACCCAGGGGAGCAGCCCACTTTGATCAGGAATTCATTACAGAGAGCCTGGTAAGGAGAAGATTTCTCTGAAGTGAGATAATTTTGTCCCAGGAAGCCTATGCCAGCCTTGTAAAGAGGGGAACAGACACTCTTCAGCTCATTGTTTTAACAACACTGGATTAAAAGAAATTAGTTTTGATTCGCACTTGTGTAAATGAGAACAGATTTGGCACACAGCTTGAACTAAAGATTTTTTCGTATTACATTTAGTAGAACTTCCGACAAATTAAATGCTGGCACTTCAGTTGCAATCTAGTAAAGCATTTAGGGACATGTTTGGCTTTCAGTGCAAGACAGCAGTATCTTCAGTATCTTTGCATGCATCTTTAGAAATAAGCAGGTAATTCAAAACATTGTGCTAAACTGGATTTATCTGGCATAATATCCTCCCACAAGTTAAGCTCACAAGAAAAAGTATGGCCTGAAACTTTACCAATCTACTGCCTATCTACTATGCCATTATGTGAAAGCTCATGTTTGCAGAGAGAAACATTTAATTTTATTGATATGACAGTTTATTTGGTTTCTATTGGATCTAAACCCAAGATGCCTCTAATCTTCCTTCACCATTAAAATGCTTTCCATCCATTTCTCCTCATTAACACTTTTAGTTGGTTTTGCATCTTTGCTCTGTTTCTCTGCTGTCCTTCATTTGACAGCTGTGAAGTTTGGCCACTCCAGCAAGGCTTTGGCAGTGCTGTTGCAGAGCAGTAGAGCAATTCCCACAAACCCATCTATTGAGGACACCCTCACCCAAGCAAACACCATTCCTGGGCCATGTTTAGTAACCCATTCCTCAAAATGCCATGAATTGCCTGAACAAAAGGATATTTTCATTGATGTCAGCTTTATCTGTGTGGGTGATGTTGCTGGCATTGGGATGATGGCAGTCTTATTTTTTCTCTCACCTTACTCTCAGGATGGACTTAACCTACAAACTGATAGTGCTTCCTTGCTCTCATTATTACAAACCTGTTAGAAATAGCATGAGACTTTCAGTGTCCTGTGGGGAATACAGCAAAAACGCTTCCACCCCACAGAGATCCTAACAATGATCAGTTCATCTTTATCCCTCCAATAGGGCTGGAAATCACCAGTGGCACTGCAAATCTTTTACCATCTCAATAGCAATGCACAACTCTATTCCCATTAATCTGTCTTCCACCCATTCACACATCAAGTACAACCCTGCTTCATTTTACAGATTATATCCATGTTGCTCCAGACAAAGGTCACTTTATAGTTACAGTTCTTCAACTGAATAAAAGCTTTTGATGCAGTAAATCATTGTCTTTCACTGTTCAAACCCACACAATACAATACAAATAATGCTGCCCTTTCTTTCACAATTCCTTTTCTACCTCACTACTTGTTTCTTTACAAAATAAAATGAGGCACTTTTCACTTGCTCCAGCCATAGAAATTAGTTCTAGCACTTTGGAGACAGTTTGCTGTGCTGCACTACAAGCCCAGACCCTATGCTATTTTGAGATCAAAATGAGCCTCTTTCATTACCTTAGTGACAAATGAAACATAATGTACCAAGGTTTCCTAGATTTAGCTGTTACTAGGTCTTTTCCTTTACTACTGTGAAACTTAAGACATTCTCTTCCAAGTGCCACATTCTTTTGTTTCTACATATAACAAGCTACCTGCCTCTATAGGACATTACATGTAAGGTGAGCACGTTTGTGTTCAGACAGGTTGTGTAGAGTGGAAAAGAGGACTGTAGAAAGGATGGATTAATCAACTAATTATCCAGTCCTGTGGCACAACCCCCAAACTCTTCCCTTTAGCAAAATACAAGGTATTCTGTTCTTCCTTTGAGTAATCAGGGGAGCCAGTCAGCTCCCCTCACAAAATTTTGAGGTTAAATTTATGGACAGTTGTACCTTTCTTTCAAAAAGGAAGAGTAAAAAATAGCGAGATAAATCATAATGCCAAGTACACTCATGAAAAATGGCAACCATTTAACAGCAACAGTGCTTTTTTTAGCACTGAAGGTCATAACGAGAACTGAGGCCAAAAGCTGAATGCAGACAAATTCTAATCTGAACAAGGGTTTTGCAACAAGGTAGCTAAAACTTGAAAACATTGCAAGGCAAACTCACATTTCTTTATGTCTACAAATAATAGTGATTACTTTTCTAGAAGAAACGACTGCAACAAAGTTATCAGGTGCCTGAAGGAAACATCTATGATACACGGGAGGTCAGTTTGGATGAGCTGATAACTCTATCCATCTTTAAATCCCATGAAACTGAAAATATATCATTACTCAAAAGCAAGTCCTAGCTCACTAATATAATTTGCCTTAAGTTTTCAGTGTTTCTGAGTTTTTTTCCTGAGTTTTGTGAAGAACAATGTTAATCACTTAGTTAAGCATTCAGTCCCAACAGACTCCTCAGCTGGCAAACAGCCACTGTGTCCCTTTTGCAGCACCATCCTCTTGGTAACAGAAGGCATTTCCTTAACTAAGATGGAATGAGACTTCCACTAAGTCTCAGCTGAGACTGTTGGTAGGTAACAGCTAGGCTTGTCACTAGCTTGTATTTATACCCCAGAACACTGCTGCTTTTAAAGCCAGACTTAGGTGATCACTCACAGAATGCAGCTTCAGATCAGTTTCATTCAGTGTATTTTTTTGCATGTGTGTGCACAAAGCTAAGTAGCATCTTCTAGTTCAGCTGGCCTAACCCAGTATATGCTACATTCCACTTCAGTGAAACTAAAATTAGGCAAGAGCAGCTCAAAATTTCTTGACTGTTATACCTGAACAGAATTAACAGCTAGCAATTTCCAATCAAACCAGAAATTATATCATAGCCAATGAGAAAAATCATCTTACAACTTGCACTCTTAATCAAGTAGATCTGGAACTCTTTTAATTTTAGTCTCCTTTTTAATGGTATGACTTCACTCACTGAAAATGTTATATTGAAATAGCAAGTTCTCAGAACAGGAAACCTAAGCTGACAGCAAAACTTCCAATATTTTGCAGAGCTTAGATCCAGTTTTTTCTGCCTTTTTGTCTAAGATCTCAACAAAATAGAGATTGGTTGTCAGACTGGATTCTGCACTCACAATTCAGGTTCATCAAAGAATGACACTGTACAGTATGGCAGAACATGACATTGCATTGCAATGTAAAGGCAACTGAGGGTATTTTTGGGGTTGCAGTCCACTCCTTCTATAGCACAGAGCAATCTGAAGCAATGAAAGGAGGAGGCTGAAGACTTTTCTTGCTAAATTTCTGACTGTCCAATCTTGCTTTTCAGTCATCACATTTCATTTCTCTAGTCTGAAAGTGGAAATAAACAAGTGAGTGCATAAACGGATTCTCTTCATCCCCAAATACTTCAAGTTTATAAAATCAAAGAAGTTTTCTCCAAGGGACCCTTGGGCATCCTGGAGATCTCCTCTGACAATAAAAGAGAAGCAGTTCTGTCTTCACTAGGGTCTCCTCCAAAAATTTCTGTGCTTGCACTGAGGCCATGAGATGCAAAGATACCAGGGAAACAGAGAAGCAATTTACATTGACAAAGAGGATTTTGATACACTCCTCCAAATGGGGCAGCATTACCATCTTAATAGCCTTTTGCTCTCAGCCCTCTTCCTGAGGACGCTGGAGATTTTTGCAAATGGAGAACAGTTCCGCTTCCCATTTTAACTGCAACAATAGCAGAAGGGCTCCTTAAACTGCATCAAATAGCAGTCTGTGAAATCCCTAACTAGCCACACTGCCTCTCCTGCCGTTTTATTATCCTCCAGCCCACAGAACAAAGCAGGGGGGAGCTCCTCCTCTTTTTTTTTTAGCCTATTCCACACATCCTAATCCCTCAGAGGTGGCAATGGAAATTGCTTGTGGAACTGTTAAATCACACTTTCACTTTGTCTTTCATTCCCCATTCACCCTCGCTAATCAGAGAGCTTCCAGCCACATTTTCCGATATCAATTTGTTTATGGCCTATTGGTTAATGGTCCTGGGATGGGACCCCCTGAGTAAAAAGAAAGAATCCTGGGCACTTCAGCCAGCTGCTGCCTCTCACCAATTCCCACATCCATCCACTTGTTCCCATCAGCCACCCTGAATGTGCTCACCTCCTGACACCAAGGGAATGAAACAACAAAGCCTGAATGGGAGAGTTGCCTTTGCAATCAGGCTGCGGGACAGATTCCACTTGCTAGTGCTATGTGATGTTCCTCAAGCAGTCACTGGCTGGCCCGTGCCTAGCTGCCTTACCGTCATCTTACCTGCACCCAGCTTCAATGTGGAAAGATGCACCAAGTACAACTCAGAGAAACTCTAGCCTCTCTTGAACAGGGCAGCCTGGTGCCACTTTCTGCATCTTATCCAAAGCAGACATTTCCTGGTGATTTTCTCACTTCCTCTTTCCACAGAAATAATGATCACTAAAATGTGGGAGACCGCACAATATTTACTTTTACAAATCTGTGAGATGATTCACGTGTGCTTACCAGTCTCTGTAAAAGAGTGTAGGGCATATTATCAGGGGAACCATGCCCTTCCTATGTTACCAATATTGGAGAAAAATATCTACAATAGAAACGTAATAAAACAGAGAAGACATTCTAGTTGCTTTTCAAAATGCACAAATGCCTGACATCAAGACATTAATTACTTAAAGAAATCCAAACTGGTATTTTATCTGTTTGTAGAAAAATGGCAAACAGTGTTTTAAATATACACCCCAGAAACATATGGGTACAGGGAAAAGAGCAATTGTTACACTTTTAATGCAGTAATATCCTCCTATCAGGAGGATTTAATGCTGCTCCATCATCATTACGTGTAACCAGGCCCATTTGTTCTTTAAAGGTTCAGTCCTGAGAAAGCTATATTCATGGCTCACAGAAAAGAGCTGAAAAAAATAAAATTGTCTCTGAACAAATGCTCCCTGTTTCTGAAATGGGAAAACTTTCTTTCCCAAAGTTTCACTACATTAGTGCCTGAAGACAGAGCAGGAAATTGTCTGCCTTTTTAAATAATGACCAGAAACATCTATGTAACTCAAGATATTCAAGACAGAAAGGTAGCTTATCATCTTCCCTATACTGAAACAAAACACATCAAGACCAACTCTTGCAAGTAACCTCAGTTTAAACTAAAAAGTTTTCTAGTTCCTGTAGACTTTTAGAATTGCTGGTCCCAAATTAAGCAGATCAAATGCCCAAAATGCTATCTAAGAATATACTGAAAATAGTATCCAAAGGCTTAGGAAACACTGTACCTCCCTCCCATTACAATTATGTAGATGTATCAAATGGAATAAAAAATGCACCATAAAACATTTAAATTTCTTTTGTTCTCTGACATTTTGCATCACCTGAGATGTAAGCATGCTGAGTCACTAGGAAATATAAATATGTCATTAGTCTGGTACAGCCTGTTTGAATGTGAGAAATGTGCAATCACAAGGAGGAGAACTGTTGACATCCCTTAAAGAGTTCACAGTGCCTCATGGGATCAGTGATTCTCCATCACTGGAAACTGAGAACCAGCTATACTCACTTGTCCTAGTGCCCTGGCTGCATATCAGATGTCCTCCCTGAACAGAAAGTGACAGGCACTGACCAGTTTTATTCAGTCTGTTAAACTGATGCAGTGGTAAGGAACCAGGCTGAGTATCAAAAGACATCAACTCAACAAAATTGATCTATGAATGTTTGTCAAGAAGTAAGGATGTTTGCTGGGATAAATGGGAAAAGAAGGGAAGAGCTGAGCTTCCCTCTTTGCTGTGTCTGAAAGTACATGATTCAGGACACAGCCACGAGGAATCCTAGTTCCCTGTCAGCATGGTAGTAATACCCAGCTTTTTACCAGTATACCACTTCAAATCCTAGAGAATCTGAGGATAATTTAAGACCACAGGGCATTAGCATTAAAATGTTCACAAAAATAGAAAAGAGACACTAAATTCCTGTATTTTTACTGATGCCAAGGCATTTGCTAAAGAAGAACCATTTATTAGAGCAGGTTATTAATGATAAATGGGTATGTTTCTCCTGAAGAAACATACCCCCCTAGGACCCTCTGTTTCCTGAACCATTCCACTTTACCTTGGATGGAAACAGGGAGTCCTGGTTAATAATTGCAGGGCCCATTTCTAGATCCACAACAATATGCAAGAACTATTTTAGTGTAATCCAAGAAGAAACTGAATTCAGCAGATTGCTCCCCTTGTTAACCAGAATGTCTAAATGTGTGGTGTTTTAATTTGGTATAAACAGCACCATTTACAACAATAGTTATCGTTATCTACATTCAGTCTGCTTATAATACTAATTGAAAAGGCAAAACAACCAATGTTCTGGTCTTACCCTGAAGAACCAAGCCCGATTTCTCAATGGTGTAGAAAAAAGTGGAGAACGGAGCAACAGGGGATTTAGCAACCAGGAGCTGCAAAAGCAAATGTATGATGTAAGTATACATCTTTATAACACACTGATCAAAGCTCAGATCTGCAAAAACATCTCACCAGATTTAACTTTCACAAGTAGTAAAGCACACTTCAGAAAGAACATGTAGTTATTGATCTAGCTGTGTCACTTCTAACTAGTTGAGATCTTCTCATACACGTATACAGATCATGCTGCAATTTTAAAAGGATTTACAGGTCCTAAAAAAACCACCATTATGAAAGCAGTAAATTTTGCTTGTCTTACTGGCATCCTGTTAAGATTAACCATTCCTGCTGGTTCAGGCCTTTCTACTCAGAGATGATTTTAAACAAAACTGGTACTGCCATATACTGACAATTTTTAATTGCCATTAGCCATTCCACAGACATGTCCCCTTGGTTGCTCCAAGAACTCCACGCACTGTCTTTATCCAGCCCCTGGAAACAGGATCTCCACTCATGGGTTATCACACTGGGGATGGTAACATGCTATTGCAAGTATCTGGATGTCCTCTTCTGCAAAATGGGTAGTGACCATCTCAAGCTTTATTCAAGGAACTTGTCCTTGGAATATCAAAATAGGAACCAAAATTCCCTCGGAGTGGGGGGTGTACAGTGCAATTGAATTTAGCTTGGCGTCAGGGTGACACCAGAAATAAGCCAAGCCCCCCTGTCTCCACTATGGTAGAACCATCCTCTGTGGAAGATGAGCAGCAGCAGAGACAGAAATGGGCTTGTTAGCAGAGTAGGGAATGTGGGACCCACAGGTGGCAAGCTCACACAAATGTGCCAAGCTTTATTGTTCACCTGTTTGATTTTTGCTCATGGCCAAGGACTGTTCCTCCACAGCTTGCCTAAAATAACCCTCATTCTGTTACCTGCATGAAAGTGACATTTTAATGACAAATTTAATACACTCTGCCCAAGATGTGATCAGCACAAACACTGATCTGATGGTGCCCACGTGGCCCTGCAGACGTCACTGACAGCAGTGGCTGAAGCACAGAGCCTGGTGCTGCTCTGCCTCCAGCACAGAGCTGCTGAACAAACCTGAAGCATGGTTCTTGCTCACCTCTTCCACAGCTAGAAAAGGCTGGGATCTGGAAATCAGCCCTCCCACTGGTGGCCATGTACTCTGGGAGAGCCTTCCTGCCTTCCTGTTCCCAGGGGACATGGTTTGGGTGGATGGTTTCCCTCCAGCTCCTCCTGAGTTTCAGCAGGGATGTGCTCCCAGCAGAAAGGCTTCCTTTCCGTGCACTGATTGCATCCAAGCCCTCCATGAGGCCTGCCGGGCAGCGTGCTGTGGAGCCCCACACACCTCAGTGCCTAAATTCCCAAAGCCCTGTCAGATACTGCGCCCTCACAGCCCATGATAGGCAGCCATCTGTCAGATACATCCCAACACAGATAAAAATCCCATTCTTTCCAAAGGGCATGCCCTAATTCTGCCAAACGTTCGAGCACTTGTAGGGGTCGCTGCATATGAAACTGCATATAGAGACCACAAATACAGCTGGAGAACATTAGACCAGTCCAAATGTCAATGCTTTCCTTTCTGTTATATGAAGCTGGCAAAACCACCTCAGGATATGATACTGTGAATACTTTGTGAATACTCCAAATAGGAAAACTGCTGTAGTAGCACTTTCCCCTCTTCCATGTTAATTACCATCTCTCTGGGATTATCTTCTGGAGAAAAGAGGGGCAAGTCACATCTCACATGCCTGATGCACTGTAACAAAACCTGAATTCCCTTGCCTGTCATTATCACAGAAAAGCTGAGCTGGAAGGGATGCACAAGGATCATTGAATCCAACTCCCAGTTCGGCACAGAACCATCCCCAAGAGTCACACCATGTGCCTGAGGGCATTGTCCTAAACACTTCTTGAACTTTGGTTTGCTTTGGTTAGGTTTGGTGCTGTGACCGCTGCCCAACCACCCTCTGCCTGAAGGACCTTTTTCCAGAGCCTATTCCTAACCTAAACCTCCTCTGACATAACCTCACACCCTTTCCTCAGGTCCTGTCACTGGTTACCACAGAGAAAGCAGAAGGAAGACTGTCAGGAAGAAAGCAGAGTGAAGAAGAGCTGCCTCCAGGTGCTTTGCACACTCCCTCAGCTCTGAAAACACAAGGAAGAGGATGGGGTGGAAAAACTGTGCAAACACACAGGTAGAGCCTCCCACAACAGCTGTCTGTTAAATTGGAAAGGCCTGAAGTGACACAGTTACAATTCTGACATCTAAGGTCAAATTTTTGGCATTCATGCACTACTATGCACAAAACTACTAACCTATGTGTGCATATGCACTAGGCAAAGTTATACGTGCACATGGATAGACATTCAAATAACTCTATGTACATTCTGTTACTGCATTTTTATTCAGTTACAATATGTGCATAGCTATGTATAGCAATGAAAAAATATCATAAATCACATCCTTTCAGCAGCACATCACAGGGCCCCTCTGAAAGGCGGCTGTTGCACAGTTACATCTGAGACTCCAAATTAGTTTCCTTTTAAGTGAAATAGAAACAGCTCAGAACATTCAAAGGTATTGCTTTATTTTGAATGTTTGCCCACTGAGAAAAAGTATATAGTATTTAACATAACATTAAAAAAAAAGAAGAAGCAAATATGTATTTAGATTTGTTTTCCAAGCAAAAGCAAACGACTGTAAAAGTTCATTGCAAACTGTCCTCTAGCTGGAACAGTCAGCACAGACTAGGTTCTTACATATAGACAAGGAACTTATAAAGCATGGAAGGAAATACATATTAAAAAAAAAAAAAGTTTTGAAGGCCAGGAAGTGGAAGTGTAAATCAAGTATTACCAAAAATCAAGGTAATGTTGACTCTGTAAGGATTATTAAAAATAGCAAAAATGAAATAAAAGTTGGATTTATAACAAAATTACATTGGCATAGTGATTAAATATATTCCAAGATATCAGTGAAAAAATAATGATTTTTCCTCAAGTAAGACAATACTGAAAAAGAAGAAAAGGCAGGTAATGGGAATTATCCATATCACATTGATATAAAAATAACAACTGAGTGGAATGAAAACTCCAGGAATTTAGCACATTCAGCAGAAGCAGGTAATCTCTATTGGGAAACCACTGTAAGATACAGCATGTGAATTTAGGTCTGATAGGCAGTATTTGTCACTTTTCTATGAACTTGAAAATGTTGCAACATAACTGAGAAGCAGCAAACTTAGTCCCTCTAAAAGAAGAGAAAAACAATGTGAACTAGTGACTTGATGCCTGTAACCTGATAGTACCTGACAGGCTTTAGAAGAAATTTTGAAGTGAGGAATAACATAACTTGGATGCAGAACTCAAAGGCATAATAAGTAAATTTACTGATGATACTAAATTGTGAGGAGCTGTTGACTCCTTCAGAGACAGGGAGGCCCTGCAGAGAAACCTTGAAAATTTAGGGGACTGGGCAACCACTAAGTTTAGCAATGGAAAGTGCTGGATTCAGCACCCTGGATGTGACAACCCTGGATGTATGGACAGACTGGGGGAGGAGAGGCTGGAGAGCAATGCTGAGGAAAGGGATCTGGGGTTCCTGGTCAGTGGCAAGTTGAACATGTGTCAGCAGTGCCCTGGCAGCCAGGAGGGCCAGCCCTGTCCTGGGGAGCATCAGGCCCAGCATCACCAGCCAGGCAAGGGAGGGGATTGTCCCCTCTGCTCTGAGCTGGGGCAGCCTCACCTCCAGTGCTGGGGACAGTTCTGAGAGCCACAGGACAGCAAAGATATAAAGTGTTAGAGAGCATCCAAAGGAGGGCAACAAAGATAGTGAAGCATCTTGAAGGGAATACGAATGAGGAGCAGCTGAGGTCACTTGGTCTGTTCAGTCTGGAGGAGACTGAGGGGGGACCTCATTGCAGGCTTCAACTTCCTCATGAGGGGAAGAGAAGGAGCCAGCACCAGTCTCTTCCCTCTGGTGAGCAGTGACAGGATGGAATAGATGAAGTTGTATCAGAAGAGGTTTAGGTCAGATATTATAACACAATTCTTCACCCAGAGGGTGGTTGGGCATTGGAAGAAGCTTCCCAGGAAAGCTGTCATAGCAGCAGCCTGACAGAGTTCAAAAAGCATCTGGGGAACATTATCAGGCACAGGATGTGATCCTTGGGCTGTTCTGTGGAGGGTGAGGAGCTGGACACCATGAACCTTATGAGTTCCTTCCAACTCAGGATATTCTATGATTCCATGAACTAAAGTCTTGGAAAATGGGCTAAAAGAAAACATGGATGTCATGCCAGACGTCCATGACATACACAACATCCTTCTTTGGTTTTTTTATTAGAAGTATGATATAAATATGAACTCATCTCTTTGGATCTCTGTAAAGCTTTTAACACTGCTAAATGAGAACTGGTAGTGAAGAAAACTAGGATAAGCATAGAAACTGTTAGACAAAAGGGGAAGCAGTCAGTTACTGGAAAGAAGACACTTCCTGGGTGTACCTGAGATATTAGCACCTCACTTAGATTGACCCCTAAGGTGATGTAGTCAAGACAGTGGCAGACCCAGTTCTATGGTGCACCACCACATCCACCTGGTCAAACCAGGGGTACCTGAGTGTTTCTGTACAAGACACCAGCAAGGTTTAATCTGGGAAACTGTGTGACTGTGCAGGTCACTTATGAACCCAAGATGGTTCTGTAAGAGATGGGCTGTATGCTGGCAAGGAGACTGGAGTGCTGATCTGAGATGGCACTGGAAAAACATTAGGTCAGTGAATCTGGCAAAGATGAAGGCTGACAGTGTCTGTGTGTGTAAGTGAATGGGGAGAGAGGAAACAAGAGAATGAAGCAGGAACAAAGAGGACTTCTCAAACTGACAACACTGGCAGAAGAACAGATTTGCAGCCATGAAGACATTTTGGCCGGAAATTTTAAAGTTCATAACTATCAATAAAGTCAGACTCTGGAAGAGCCTTCAACTCAAAGAGGCAAAGCTAAAAAGTTAATCTTTGATTTTA